AGTTTTGGAGGTCAGTGGCACATCACTGATATTATGACCTTTTCAACAAAAGAAATCAACAATGAATACTTTAAGGCAAATAGACAGTTAGCATACTTAACTCTTTATTTGCCTCAAAGTTTTCATTGATATAAAAACTACTATCCCTCCAAATGAAGAAAAGAAAAACAAAATTCCACTGTTTTCCCTTCAATGATATTATTGTCCTTCCATGGAGAGGGTGACTAAAAATGAAAATGAAAGGCAGCCCATTCAAACCCAAGAAGTAGCTCAATTAACTAATATCACATGGAGTTCTCATTGCAAATTTATTTTGTTAAAAAAGAAAAGAAAGTTGGTGGAATTAAAACTGAGGGAGCATAATCTGGGAGAAAGATCAAGAGGTAGAAAGAGTTATCTTAACACTTTGCACGAATCACTTTGTTAGCGCTAGAGAAAAAAAACCCACTGTAATTCTTCATTAGCCATTCCTTTTCCATCTTATATGTTTTTGCAATGAATTCTGTTCCTAGTCCAAATATGGCCTTATTTCCTGACCTTATTTTCTTTCCTCTCTACAGTGATGAACCTCTCTATGAGTTCAGCTCCTGTAGTGTCCAGGAACATCAGAGGTATCTTCTTAGAGTCAGACCACAATGCAGTCTCAACAAACCCTTGAGCACAGATATTGTTGCACCTCCAGTTTGTGGAAATTACTTTGTGGAGCGGGGAGAAGAATGTGATTGCGGCTCTCCTGCGGTAAGATTTTTTTAATCAACAAGAATGATTTGAAAATTTTTCTCAAACATGGGAATCCTTGAAAAATCACCTGGCTTTCTAAGTGGTTTGAGCCATCCAAGAGGTTGGTTTGTGAGTGCATAGGTTTGTGCCCTTTATGTACATGCATGTATGCAGTGGTTTCTTGGATTTGGGTAACCAGTTGTAAGAACTGGTATCTCACTACTATTTCAGGAAGACAGCATGTTTTAAAAAATTGATGATTTACCTCTCCAAGAAAAATTTTCCCAGCTGAAAATCCCTATTTTGTTCACATGGCTACTGTCCCACAATTTTCTTGAGCTTCTTCCTCCCACAATTTATAATATTTTATCCATGCTCTAATCCCTAATTATCTTTTTATACAAACAGTAATTTAGTGAAGTGTTCTTTTTATATTGTCAAATAAACATGTAAAGGTGTTAAGAATCTGTCCACCAATTAGTTGGGTTGGCAATATACAAACCAACAATGTATGTTTGTAGCTTTAAGACAAAGTTACTGTATTGATTTGTACTATGTTCCGATTGGTTAATTGTATTGTGAATTGCCATAAGAGGGAGCTAGAGATCATGGCTTGCTCTCTCTGACATGCTCTATCTCTGACATTCTGTTGCTATCTCTGTTGTATTTATGCTGTGCTTATACTTTGATATCTTTGTTTACTGTAAATGACAAAGGCAACCGGTAAGAAGATTTTGTAATTGGATATTCTTTGGACTGTTAAACGTATATGACCTGGACCGTTTATTGGACTGTGCTATTTCTTAAAGTAAACTTTAACTCAATCTAGTGTGTGGCTGACTAATTATTCCTAACTACTCTCATAAACGTTTCCATGTGCATATCCTTGTTACTCATGGGTTATTCTGTAGATATTATAACAAAAGGTTTGTAAGAATGTCCTTGAGAGACAAAAGGAGGAGGAAAAGTCTCCTCGATGGACATAGAAGAAGTGGATTAGCCTGCAGAAGCAATGGGGGATGGCAAACATCTCCCACCCTCTCTCTTGGTCCATAAAGATGAGGGGGTAGAAATATTGAAAGATTCTGCTACTGTAACCTTACAACAAAGGTAGTGTTAATATTCATGGTCAGTGATTCTTCTCTGGACCACCTCAAAGGCTGGCATGAAGAGGAGAAAACCCATCATGAATAAGGAATGGGGGCTTTAGGTTATGTGGGATTCACAACTGGGAGATGAGGATATTTTTGTTTGTTTTATTCTTTTCACATAGGAAATATCAGATAAGTCTGTTTCATGCAGATATGCCATCATCCATTTGCAATAACAAACCATTTGTGCATTTGCTAGCATGAACCCATAAGAGGGAACACATCGCAGAAATATATTTTCCTTGGCAGTTTTCTTCTTCAGAATAGACCAATTAGATAAGATATGTCTATGACATCATTTTATATGTTTTAGTTTTCAGGATTGTCAAAGTGCCTGCTGCAATGCTGCAACTTGTAAACTGCAACATGAGGCACAGTGTGACTCCGGAGAGTGTTGTGAGAAATGCAAAGTAAGACTTGTTTATTTTTAACACCAAGAGAGATTTTACCCTGCTCCATACTAACCATATAAAAATGTACGAGGGCTATCCACAAAATAGATTATGTTTTCGTCTGTAAAAAGAAGGGGCGGAGCTAGCATGGCCATCTTTGGTCTGTGCGTCCGCCGCTCAGTCTGCATCTAGTCGTGCTAGTGGGAGGTTCGTATCGTTGCCCGTTATTTCACAGCAAACATTTGAAATGTGTGCTGCAATTGAAAATCCCGTGAGTTGTGAGGTGCGATCAGTGATAAGATTTTTGTTGGCAAAAAACCATAAACCGATTGAAATTTTAATTGAAAAATGGAAAAACTAAGAAAAGCAATTCAGAACAAGCGTAGAGGAAAGTTAAGCTCAAAAATTTTGTTCCAAGCCAGGTCTTCATCCTCGGAAACAAGTGGTAGTCGCTTGGTGCAAGATTGGGGCTATAGGGCGGATGAGGAAAAATCTCCCACTTGAAAGCATTCAGGACTTCTCGAGTGCGATTTGCTGTGTGTGGTCGGGCATTGTCATGCAAAAACAAAATTTTTGAGCTTAACTTTCCTCTATGCTTGTTCTTAATTGCTTTTCTTAGTTTTTCAATTTTTCAATTAAAATTTCAATCGGTTTGTTTTTTTGCCAACAAAAACCTTATCACTGATCGCACCTCACAACTTGTGGGATTTTCAATTGCAGCACACATTTCAAACGTTTGCTGTGAAATAACGGGCAACGATACAAACCTCCCACTAGCACGACTAGATGCAGACTGAGCGGCGGATGCACAGACCAAAGATGGCCACGCTAGCTCCGCCCCTTCTTGCTACAGACGAAAACGTAATCTATTTTGTGGATAGCCCTCGTAATATCTCCTGGCTGTTTTCTGTGATCAAAACATTTTAACCTATTCCTATCTCCTCTTTCAGCTTATTTGATCCTTATGGACATATCCATAGGTAGAATAATTTAACAAAATTCAACCTTGTCTCAATCAAAAAAGGAATCTTTTGGCATGTTAAATCACCTCTGTGAAAATAATACATTTGTTCATGGAAACCCAGTTTAAATAAGAGTGGCCAATGCTTGAGAGTGATGCCCTAACTTAGCTTCCTGACTTTCTGGAAGGTTCTAAAAGGTTTCTAGTAATGCTGTGACATTTTTCTCTCTTAGACTTTTGGGATGGAAATCTATGTAGGAGACTTCTGGAAATAAAATTCCCTTTCCCCCACTTAAAATCTCTACCTGCTCTCTAAAGCTCTAAGTTCAGTTATTTTGGTGGCACATTCTGGAGATGCTGCAGGACCATAAAGAGAGAGGTGCAAGTTCCTCATTCCTTCTTTATGGGATCCTAGTTGACTTTGCAATGAACTTTTTGAGCAGAGCGACCCAAAACATTTTGTTCTTTCCATATTTTCATCACAAGTCTAGAGTTACAGCAAAAGAAGGCAGCCATATTTTTTTCAGCATGACAAAAAACTCTATTCATGTTTTTTCCCATCTAAGGAAATAAAAATATATCATAAGAAATTCAGCAATTAACATTTTGCTGCTTTTTCATGGCAGCCCAAATGATTTTCACTTTATAGCCAACCAACATGTAGAACTTGTGTTTCAGGAATTGAGCTTTTCATGACAATCATTTTCTCATAACAAATAAGACCGAGTAGGACATCCAGGCACTACACACAATTGTAACAGGGCAGGGATGCCTTGCTTGGTAATCCTCATGACAGATGAAGAGGAGATTTTGAAATGTGTTATGAATCATGGTTTGACTCTGATCTCTGCTGCTTAAGAAGGACAGCTGGAAGTATTTTTCATTCTCACCCACAGTTTAAGAAAGCAGGAGCAGAATGCCGGGCAGCAAAGGATGACTGTGACTCACCTGAAAGCTGCACTGGCCAATCTGCTGAGTGTCCCACGGACAGCTTCCAGAGGAATGGACATCCATGCCAAAACAACCAGGGTTACTGCTACAATGGGAAATGCCCCCTCATGACAAACCAATGTATTGATCTCTGGGGGCCAGGTAAGTCGACCTTAGGATTTCAGAATAGTGGCATTGTAAAAGACTAAGATGGTCATTGCATTAATCAAATATTTTCTCCTTTGTATCCATATTAAATATTCATTACATTTCTGTTCTATAACAGAGTTAGAAGGAGCCTTGGGGGTCTTCTAGTCCAACTCCCTACTCAAATAGGAAACCTTATACCATTTCCCATCTTTTCTTAAAAAAATTTCCAGTGTTGCAGCACCTACAACTTCTGAGGGATTTGTACAGATGGAATAATTTTTCAAGATGAAGTTCTTTCTTTGGAGGCTTTAGAGCTTAGCCCTCCAGATCTTTTGGTTTAAAACTCCAGTCATCCTAGAAAACATGGCCAATGGTCTAAGATGATGGCAGCTGTAGTCAAGAAATCTGGAAAGACTGACTTTGTGGAAAGGATGCTTTTGTGGGTTGTGGATAAATTCCCAAATTGGACAATCTCAATGAGAGATAATGTCAATTGATTATGGGACTGTGTGCTAAGGAGATTCAAACCCCAGTATTCAAATTTTCTTTAAATTTGGCACAATAATTGAAGAAACAGGCATTGGGGGATATGATTCTTGTCACTGATCACTCCTGACTTTCAGACTATTCACAAAATTTCCAGCATGGTTTTATGTTGAAAAAGGAAACTTTTTCATATAAGGTAGAGTTTTCAGTAAAAAGCAAGATTTATCTTGGCCAGAGATCAGTGGTGCAGTGAATCTTTGCATATAAAAAGCTCAAATACAGGTTTAGGGTCATTAATTAAAAGAGTCAGAATTAACAGAAAGACTGAGTTGGAAGGAGCCTTGGAGGTCTTCTAGCCCAACACCCTGATCAAGCAGGAAACCGTATACTATTTCCAATCTCTTCTTTAAAAACTTCCAGTGTTAGAGCACCTACAAGTTCTGAAGGCAAGCCATTCCACTGATTAATTGTTCTGTCTGGAAATTTCTCATTTCTATTTGGTTTGGTCCTTGATTACTTTCCATTCATTGTGTTCGAAAAATAGCTTGACCCCCTCATCTTTGTGACAGTCCCTCAAATATTGGAACACTACTATCATGTCACCTCTAATCCTTCTTTTCATTAAACTAGACACATACAATTTCTGCCACTATTCTTCATATGTTTTAGCCTCTGATCTCCTAATCATATTTGCTACTTTTCTCTGTATTCTTCAAGAATGTCAACATTTTTTCTATCATGACGAACAAAACTGGATGCAATATTCCAAGTGTGATCTTGCCAAAGCATTATAAATTGGTTCTAACACTTCACATAATCTTGATTTTATCCCTCTGTTAATAGGACTGTGTTGGCTTTTTGGCAGTTGCAGCACGCTGCTGGTGCATATTTAAATGGCTGTCCACTAGGACTCCAAGATCCCTCTCACAGTTATAGTATTTTGCCAGGAAGCATCTTTTCGGTACCTGTGGTTTGGTTTTTCTTCCCTAAATATAGAACTTTTTTTAAAAAAAATTCCCCATGTAACTTATTTTGTAAGTTAGGGTCGCGTGTTGAAGTCTCTCAAGATCCTAATGGATCTTAAGACTATCTTCTGGAGTGATGGATATTCCTGCCAGCTTGGGATTGTCTATAAATTTGATAAGTTCCCCTTCTATCCCCTTGTCTAAATTGTTTATGAAGGGTCAGATGGCATGTGATGGTCGTTGGGAATCCAAATTGCAAATCAGAACATTGTTCTACTTGCATAATCTATCCATCTATTGGATTTATGGAGGATGTGATTTAGACAATAAATGGACACTTGCTCTAATATTTCCATTGCTTTGAAAATGGAAATCTCAGTTCAAACAAAGAAATCATTATTTTGGTCAATTAAATAGCATAACATGATCTAACATTCCAAAGAATGGAAATAGCTAAATCTTTTGCAAGTAGTCCAGCTATATTCAAAAAGGCTTATTCGCAGGAATTGACAGGCCTCAAACCAAGAATGAGACGTGATGATTCTTCCATGCTGAGTTCTTTTTTCTTTCAGTCCTGTAGACAAAATCTTGCTGGACTAAGGACTCTACTGTTTGCATCTTCAATACACTCTGTAAACTATTAGGGAGGAACTGTCTTCACCCTCTTTCTCTTGCATGTAATCAGGGGTGGGATTCTACCAGTTTGCACCTATTTGCTAGAACCGGTTGTTTGGAGAACCAGTTGTTAGAAGAAATTACTGGCCTAATCCTGTAAGGAAGGCAGGAAGGAAACATTCTGGTGTTGCTGACAGAAACTGCCTCTCCATTGACCCTTATTACATTCTTGGCAGGACTGGACTTCCTGTCTCAGGAATGTCTCTGGAGTTTTTTTCCCTCCTTTGCTGGTACTTTGCTTGAATGGAGTAACCATTCAAAGTTACAATGGCACTGAAAAAAGTGACTTATGACCGTTTTTCACACGACTGTTGCAGCATCCCCACAGTCATGAGAGGCCAGGCGAAGAGATGCGTGCCTCGATGTGAGTGATGTTGAGTTGGCCACGCCCAGCCAATAACATGACCACCAAGCCATGCCCATCAACTAAGCCACGCCCACAGAACCGGTTGTTAAAAAAATTGAATCCCACCCCTGCATGTAATATGGGGGTAAATTGCCTCTTACTTTTCTGAATTTTATCCTCTTCCACCCTTCCCCTTCCTTACTGCATTCCAGCACAGGAATGTTTCTACAATAGTGTTAAAGTTGGAAAATGGAGAATGAGGAAACAGAGGAATGAAGCTCCATTGAGATTCCCCTCAGCCATTTATTTTCTGCATGGTCTTCTGCAAATTGCATAAAAGTGGCTTCAGTTTTTGTGCCATTAAAATTCAATAAGCAAGTTTAGTGTAGCGCTGTATCAGATAGAGAAAGATTCAGGCATAATGAGGATTAGATAAATAATGGGTTACCAAATAATAGATTACAAATAAGCAAATACTAATCATAGTTTCTTTAATCCTTTAAAATCTCTTAAGCCATTCTTTATTCTACTGGCATGTTACAGTCTCAGGTATTTGTCCTGATTCCTCACTCCCTTTTACAGGTGTAAAAGTGTCTTCAGGTATATGTTTTACATTGAACCAGAATGGCCGAAGTTGTGGCTTCTGCAGAATGGAACATGGTACAAAGATTCCATGTGCAGCAAAGTAAGCAATCTAAATTATTTCCTTCTATGATGATATAATATAAGAATAATAAGAAATATGTTAGGGTCATTTCTGTGGGAATATGATTTTGTCATTGGTTAAAACAGTAGAAATGTTAGTCAATTTCTGAATGGCTAGTTTTCCTTTGTTTTCCATCTTGGGAAATTGCCTTTTAAAAGATTGTGTAAGAAAGAACAGATAGTTCTTGACTTACCACCATTCGTTTAATGACTTCCAAGAAGTGACTTACAACTGGCCCTTGCATGTACAACTTTTGCAGCATTCCCATAGTCATGTGACCACAATTTGGGTGCTTGGCAACCAATATATATTTATGAGGACGGCAGTGTCCCAAGATACTTCCAAAGACAATGGGGGAAGTCAGATTTGCTTAACCACCATATGATTTATTTCGCAATGATAGTGATTCATTTAACAACCATGGCAAAAAGATCATAAAATTAGGTGCAGCTCAATTACCTGCAACCTTGTTTAGAAATAGAAATTCTTCACGCATTTGTGGTCATAAGTCAAGGACTATGCTGTAATCAGCATTTCCCTTTGGGCTTACATTACCCAGCTTGTTTACCCTGCATATTTCTGAATAAACCCTGGTTGATGAGTTTATTTAGTCATAAATCATGATTTAGAAGTCACAGTGGTTAAATCTGCACCACATGTTGAACCCAAATTAAACATTAAGCCACATTTTCTTTTAGTGATGTGTATAAATCCAGACTTGCTTTCAGCTCTTACACAAACACATAGACCCCTGTGCCATTGATTTTTGTTAAGACAAGAGAATTTCTTATTTTATACAGCCCTATTTCAATCTTTATTCCTCCTTACTCGCATATTTTTATGAGGTTGAAATGGAATAATAGCTTTTTTCAGGGCAATTTCCCTCTCCAATGTTTAACTCAATTGCTCTAACCTTTAGATTTCAACTCTCATCATCCCCTGTCATCCACTGATCAGAGATAATGAGAATTTTAGGCTAGAGATCTGGAAAATCTCTAAAATCTCCTAAATCTGCTTTAAGGGTTTTCTTTTTTAAAAAAATAAAATTTATTTTTAATACAAACAATCCCTCTTCCATTAAACAGTGTGTCATCTGGATATACATATATTGTGCAATAACAATTAAAATTTACAGCCATATTAATTACATTAGTAATTATCTACTCTTAATATTGATATACATGATATATCTATGTTATAACAATCCTTATCTTATTTAATTCTATTAATATATTTTCTATATTTCACTAAAATCGTCTTTTATTTCGAACTTTCATATTTATTCTCTAACCATTGATAAAATCATTCCCATATGATATAGTATTCAGTTTATTCCTTCTCTTTAATTGCAAGTGTTAACCTATTCATTTCTGCACATTCTAATATTTTCCTGATCACATTCTCTTCAGAATCTCTTCACTTTTCCAGTTTTCTAAAAATGCAATTCTAGCTGCAGTTAATACATGAATAATCAAATATACACTACTCAAAAAAATAAAGGGAACACAAAAATAAGACATCCTAGATCTGAATGAATGAAATATTCTTATTAAATACTTTGTTCATTACATAGTTGAATGTGCTGACAATAAAATCACACAAAAAATATCAATGGAAATCAAATTTAGCAACCCATGGAGGTCTGGATTTGGAGTTACACTCAAAATTAAAGTGGAAAAAAACACTACAGGCTGATTCAACTTTGATGTAATGTCCTTAAAACAAGTCAAAATGAGGCTCAGTAGTGTGTGTGGCCTCCATGTGCCTGTATGACCTTCCCTACAATACCTGGGCATGCTCCTGAGGCGGATGGTCTCCTGAGGGATCTCCTCCCACACCTGGACTAAAGCATCCCCCAACTCCTGGACAGTCTGTGGTGCAACGTGGCGTTAGTGGATGGAGTGAAACATGATGTCCCAGATGTGCTCAATTAGATTCAGGTCTGGGGAACGGGCGGGCTAGTCCATAGCATCAATGCCTTTGTCTTACAGAAACTGCTGACACACTCCAGCCACATGAGGTCTAGCATTGACTTGCATTAGGAGGAACCCAGGGCCAACCACACCAGCATATGATCTCACAAGGGGTCTGAGGATCTCATCTCGGTACCTAATGGCAGTCAGGTTACCTCTGGCGAGCACATGAAGGGCTGTGCGGCCCCCTAAAGAAATGCCACCCCACACCATTACTGACCCACTGCCAAACTGGTCATGCTGGAGGATGTTGCAGGCAGCAGAACATTCTCCATGGCGTCTCCAGACCCTGCCATGTCTTTCACATGTGCTCAGTGTGAACCTGCTTTCATCTGTGAAGAGCACAGGGTGCCAGTGGCGAATTTGCCAATCTTGGTGTTCTCTGGCAAATGCCAAACATCCTGCACGGTGTTGGGCTATAAGCACAACCCCCACCTGTGGATGTCAGGCCCTCGTACCACCCTCATGGAGTCTGTTTCTGACCATTTGAGCAGCCACATGCACATTTGTGGCCCACTGGAGGTCATTTTGCAGGGCTCTGGCAGTACTCCTCCTGTCCCTCCTTGCACAAAGGCAGAGGTAGCGGTCCTGATGCTGGGTTGTTGCCCTCCTACTGCCTTCTCCACGTGTCCTGATGTACTGGCCTATCTCCTGGTAGCGCCTCCATGCTCTGGACACTACGCTGACAGACACAGAAAACCTTCTTGCCACAGTTTGCATTGATGTGCCATCCTGGATGAACTGCACTACCTGAGCCACTTGTGTGGGTTGTAGACTCCATCTCATGCTACCACTAGAGTGAAAGCACCTCCAACATTCAAAAGTGACCAAACCATCAGCCAGAAAGCATAAGAACTGAGAAGTGGTCTGTGGTCACCACCTGCAGAACCACTCCTTTATTGGGGATGTCTTGCTAACTGCCTATGCTTTCCACCTGTTGTCTATTCCATTTGCACAACATCATGTGAAATTGATTGTCAATCAATGTTGCTACCTAAGTGGACAGTTTGATTTCACAGAAGTGTGATTGCCTTGGAGTTACATTGTGTTGTTTAAGTGTTCCCTTTATTTTTTTGAGCAGTGTACATTCTCTTTACTGTAAGTTTCAGGTAATATCTCCAACAAAAATATTTTAGGTTTTAAATCAATTTGCTGTTGTATCATCTTTTCCAACCATGTATGTATTTTTGTCCAATATTGTTAGGCTTCTACACATGTCCACCACATATGATTATATGATCCAGGTATCTGGTGATATTTCCAACATTTTGCTGATTTACCTTTAAACATGCTTGCCAACTTTGCCAGTGCAAAATGCCATCTGTAAAACATCTTATACAGGTTTTCTTTATATGCAGTTGACATTGTTAATTTATAGTTTCTATCCTACAGTTTATGCCATTTATCTAATTCTATTGTATAACCATTTTTTTTGCCTATGCTATCATTGTCTCCTTCACTTGTTCTTCTTCCAATTTAATACCCAATAAATAGCTGTACAGTTTTTTTATCAATCTTTCTTCTGTTCCTGTATCTTATCCAGTTCTGTCAATTCTTTGTAAAAACTGTATGATGTATCTTTTTCCTATCTAGACTATATTTCCATTTGTGAATAGCAAACCATATCGATCTCTTGCTCATTCAATTCTCATTTGATTTTGAGCTCACCCTTTTCATTCAAAATATCTTTGTATCTAATGAAATTTCCCATATTAACATTTGGATGAATAAATGCTTCCATTGTAGAAAGCTAAACTGATATCTTCAAATAATGCTGTTCTCTAATTTTCTCCTATACTAACAATAAAGCATTTCTTATATGTCTTTGAAAGTAACCATGTATCTTACTTTTCCCATTCCATAAGAAGGCATGCCAACCCAATTGTAAATCATGCTCCTCCAGTGTCAAAAGCCTTGTGTTTCTTAATAAAATCCATTCTTTCATCCACGTCAATACCTCGGCTTGATAATATAATTCCCAATTGGGTAGTCCAAATCCTCCTCTAATTCTTGTATCCTGTAACATTTTAAAGTTAATTCTTGCTTTTTTACCTTGCTAAATATATTTTACTATTATTTTGTTGAAATCCTCAAAGTATTTTTTCCCAATTTTATTGGAATTGTTGGAAACAAATACAATAATTTCAGTAATCTTAATTGTAGTTATTCTTCTTATTAACGATAATTGCAAACATTTTCATTTTTCCAAATTGATCTTAATTTGTTGTAACAGGTTACAATAGTTATCTTCCTTGATCATTACACATTTTGCTGTTAATTGAATCCCTAATCTGGATATCTAACCTCTTTGTTAACTTTTTTCTGCTTCTCTGTGATATTTTTCACTAAAATCTTAGTTTTTTCTCTATTTATTTTCAATCCTGCCACTTCACCATCCTCTTTTTTCTATTAACTTAGGCCCTGTTTTTTGTGGATCTTCTAAGATAAAAACTAAGTCATCTGCAAATGCCTGTAATTTGTATTTTTCCTTTTTTCCCCTTTTTATCTCCTTATCTTGTCTAATATTTCTATTAAATACTTCCAGTGTAAATAATAATGGCCACAAGGGGCATCCTTGTCTTGTACCCTTCTTAATATTGACCTTTTCAGTCATATCTCCATTTATCATCACCTTTGCAGTTTGTTTATAATATATTGCCTTAATCATTTTGATGAATCTCTCCCCAAAGGCCATGTCTTTTAATTGTGCTAGCATAAATTACCAGTTCACATTATCGAATGCCTTCAGTGCAGCAAGGAAAATCAATGTCATTTGCTTCTCTGGATGCACTTCATAGTATTCAAATGTGTTCAAAATTATTCTCATGTTGTCTTTAATATGTCTCTTAGATAAAAAGCCATTTTGATCTGAGTGTATAAACTGAATTAAAAATCTCTTCAGTCCTTCTGTAATAATTGAAGCAAATATTTTATAGTCCACAATAAAGATATCGGTCTATAGTTTTTTTTTATCCATTGCAAATCTGAGTCTTCTTTTGGTATGAGCATAATATATGCTTCCATCCAAAACTTTGGTGCTTTCGCTTCTGACAGTAATTCATTGAATACTTCCAGCATTGTGTTACTTAAAGAGTTTTGTAAAGTTTTATATAACTCTGCTGGTAGTCCATTCGACCTGGTGTTTTGCCATTCTTTTGTCTTTTAGTTGCTTTTGTTATTCTTTCTTCTAATGCTAATTTAACTGTTTCTGGTATTGTAGGTAATTCCACTTCTTCTAAATATTGTTTTATTTTAACTTCTGAAATTGTCTCCTGATTGTATAGATTTTCACAACAGTTTTGAATTATTTTCTTTTTGTCATCATTTTGATGGTAAAGAGTCCCTTCCAGTGGTGAGATTCAATTTTTTTTTACTACCGGTTCTGTGGGTGTGGCTTGGTAGGCATGGTGTAGTTTGGTCGGCGTGGCTTGGTAGGTGTGGCAGGGGAAGGATACTGTAAAATCTCCATTACCACCCCACTCCAGGGAGAAGGTTACTGCAAAATCCCATTCCTTCCCTACTCCATTAACCTGCTTCCCAGCTCCGTTCTCCTGTGTAGGGCAACAAAGGAAGACCCAGCCGATAAGCTGGGACTTGGGAGGCAGAGCCAGTCAGAGGTGGTATTTGCCGGTTCTCTGAATGACTCAAAATTTCTGCTACCGGTTCTCCAAAACTGGTCAGGACCTCCTGAATACCAACTCTTCATCATCTAATAGTTGATACATCAATTT